GGGGCCGCCCGAATCACCAGGGTCCAATGACGCCTGGAGTGCGGTTCGTGCAATGACTTTACCCTCCGAGGCAATGGCCGCGAACTCCTGATGGTCCTCCGCTGGGAGTCTGTCTCTGAACTTTTCGACGACCGGCCAGGTATTAAAAGCATACCGACTTAGCATTGCCTGCTGATTAGCGATGCGGAGTTGTAGTGCCCCTGTGGAGTAAACCTTACAGCCCACCAAATCCAGCCGCTTAGGCTCTCTTGCCTTTGGAGAAGGACCGGGCTGAGGGAGCCTTTCCTTTTGGGCTGCGGCCTGCACGACCAAGGACCCCGGGATGGGCTGTGAATACAGGTATTCATGCCCCGAGTGTGGGACGTAATAACGCCTCTCGACCCCTTTTAAGGTAGGGGTCAAGGTCGCCGGCATTTGCCACAGGGCATTAGTAATTTTGGACACCGTTTTGTTAAGCGGTAAGGCCAACTGCGTAGGCGCATCCTCCGTGAGGATGTCCACCATTGGATCCGTGTCCTCAATGACAGGTTCCGCCGGAACGGCCAGGTTGGAAGCCATGCGCCGCAGCAGATCCTGGTGCGTACGGGCATCCATAGAAGGCAGACTTGGTGCCGGGTCTGCTAGTGCCTTGTCCAGAGACGACAACGACGACAATGATTCTTGAATTGGCACAGGAGTGGTTGTTGCCAACTGCGGTGCCGGTTGGGCAACTTGTGCCCCCGATGGGTCCGCCTCCGGTGCTGATGCCTGCGCTGCTGGATCGGGTTGTGGCACCCGAAGTGGGGAAGGAGGGGCCCGGGACAAGGCACGCCGACGGTTGAGAGCGGTGCCCTGAAGTCCCCGACCCCAGAGAAGGAGGCAGCTGACCTTGCCACTGATGGTAGGCCCAGGGGATCCAGAAAGGCCACTGCGGGTGCAGAGGCCACGTTTGTTGAGTGTGGTCCCTCCTATGTCTGGACCTGGACGCCGAGGATGCTCCCGAAGAGCCCGATCGGACAGAGACAGCATCCGAGTCCGAGGAATAATCAGACTCCGGCCAGGGTGGAGCCGAGGAAGAATGCAGGGCAAACCTTGCCATGGACTTGGGCTTACCCGCATGAGTACATCGGGGCCGCACTATCTGCACTATCCCCACATGGGATGGTCCTGACGCATAAGCCACCTTAGGATGCCGACCTGGGCCATGCTGGGCAAAGCCGTAGGCAGCCGAGCCCCCGACGATGGCGACCTCGACCCTTCCGAGTCA